CAGCGTCTTCAGGTGCTCTTTGGTGCATCTGTTCAACACCACCACCTCGCCTTGACAACCTAAACCACCATCACCTCTCACTTACCGGCTGGATGCGCACCCACCACACCGCCGATGCCTGGTTTAGCTCAGACACTTCACACGCTCCATAAAACGGCCGTACCCCAACCCCATCGCCTCAGGGCTATCCTCCAAAATCCCCAGTATTTGGGCATTCGCTAAAACCAGGCTCAATTCGGCCGGCTGCGGGTCTGACTGGAAGTCGGGTTGCGATGACTGCACAGAAGGGAAGGGGGAAGGAGGGTAGGCGAAAGAAGGAGGATGGGGTGAGGTGGAGGATGGTAGTTTAGGTCCCGAGAGATGCAACAGAAGAAAGAGGAGGTGGGTTACAACACCCTGTCTGCAGGTAGAATTGGGAGCAGATGGGGTTATGGAGGAGGAGAGGGGCGCCCCCATGGGTTTTTAAATGTTCTGCATGAAACTTAATGCTTTTTTGGGAAGTTGCCAAGCCCATGCTTGCACCCCCAAACATCCGCGTAAGAAAAAGTCCGGCCGTCTGTGTACACGTGTACTTTGCCCAGTTGTCATGCAAATTACGAGCGAGTGCATTTTGCGTGGCCGAGTTGAGTGCAGGTTTAGTAAGTGCCGGCGAGCGGTCGGAAAGTCGACGAGGGTTTTGGATGGTGCTCTTGTCTTTTAGCCTTCCTCCTGGTACCGTGTGGTGATGCGATTGTGGTGTAGTGTTGAGCAAATCGCAGTGAGAAGTGTGCAGAGGGATGCAATTTCAGCGAAGCTTTTTATTATAGCAGTTTGGGATGACGCACCGGGCCGAGGCCAGCGATGGTAGCAAACTGACGCTGTTCTACACGAGCGCCAGCCCACTCTCGAACTTCTATCCGTGCACATTCGCCGTGGACGATGAGCAGGGCAGACATCTGGTGTTTCGCTCCTCCGAGCACTACTTCATGTAAGTTGCGCTAGCTCCGTGGCCAGCGCTGTGCACTTTGTGGTGGGGTTTTCGTGCGACATTTTCAGCGGGTGTTTACTGTCCATGTGCGAGCCAGTTTCTGCATGTGCTTGTCCCTCCCTCGCTTTCGGACACTTCCAAGTGCAGCTTGCAAAACTCGCTCCCCTTCATTCTCCAAAACTAGACAGGCTAGGAAGCTGAAATTTCTTTGCTGCGCTAATGTTATTTGTAATATAAGCACACAACTCTGAGTTATAGGTTTCAAAAAGCGATACTGTTTGACGACATGGAAGTAGCGGAAAAAATACTTCAGGAGGAGAGACCAAGAAATGCCCGTGCATTGGGCCGCAAAGTCCGCAACTTTGATACCGCCAAGTTTGCATTTTTTTATTCTTTGTTACTGACAAATTGCGGCGCTCATTTTACTGGTTATTGAAAGGGCACTACTTCGGTGGCAATGTACCGTAGCAGGAAATCGCTGAAGAGGAGAGGAAGAGACAGGTCAGGCCGGGTTTTGACGGGGGCCACTGACCAGGGCTACAAGATGCTTCCTTTTTGAAAAGCTACGGAGCACGAAACGAACTGTGAATGCACGGAGCCTCGGCCGTCGAATTCAAGCAGTTGCGCAACCACTGGCAGAGAAAAAAAAAAACACAGGAAGGGGCCCACTGTGACAGGAGACAGAAGTTGAAACATGCGCCCAGGAAATGCAGCTTTCGTCCAAAAGTAACAATACCTCAAAAGATGCATTGATCCCATAATGTTAGCGCCTAGAAGTGAAATGCTCATCGGATTACAAGCCTGAAGGGCACGTGCAGTAAATTCTACACAAAATTCTGAACATTTTCTTGTGTAGCTACACCCCACAAGCAGTAAACTGCTCCTGGAGAGGTATGCTGACTGTTAAATGATGGGTGACAAAACTCCCGTCATTGAAAGCACTGGTAAATACATTCGTCGGAGCCGGAGGGCTAACTGGCTAATTGAAGGATTTGCAGCAACGGGCAAGAATCGCAACCTTTTTGCTGTGCAACAAAAGGCAACGAGACAGGTTTGGTATGCTGCATATTTTCTCATATTTACAGGCTCTCCACGGGGATCAATCGACCAGCAGGATTCTTCGATGAACAGCTGCCGAAGGCTAAAACAGAATTTTGAATTGTGGCGCAGTGGGCCGCAAAAAACTACTACTGGAGGACGCAGGAAAGGGCAACTACTAAAACTCGGCTCGGCACGGCTCGGCTCGGCTCGGCCGGTGCGTTTTGCGCCCCAG